AGAATAATTTTTTGTTACCCGTGGAATACATGGAGTAAATGGAATAAACATTTTTGTTTACCTTTGAACATGTTTTAAAATATTTTTTAAAAACACTTTTGTTACATTATGCATAGTGTGTGTGTGTGGGTGTGTGTGTGTATGTATGTATGTGTTTGTGCACGTGCATACATTCATGCACACATGCCATGATGTGTTTGTGGAGGGCAGAGAACAACTTGCAAATCACTTCTCTGTTTCTACTATGTGGGTCCCAGGATCAAACTCAGGTTGTCAGGCATGGTGGCAAGTATCTTTTTCCCACTGAGCCACCTTACGGGCCTCGGAACACTTTATTATGAGGATGATAATTTTAAGAACTATTTACTTTTCCTTTTGAAAGTTTTCTTATCTGTATCCCAGTGTCTACTATTGACAGGGTCCGACTTCGTCCATCTTAGAGAGAAAGAGAAATCTACCTTGGTTAAAAAGACATCCTAGGCAAGAAATTCCATGATAGTGAGAGCCACCGTTCCCGTTTGTGGTTGAGTTTGGGACAGCGAGGAAGGAAGAAGGAAAATAAGACCTGTTTTTCCACTTAGCTGGGCGGCTGAATTAGCTGACCTTTAAGGTCTCCTCCACTGAGTTTTATGGCTCCATGAATCATTCTGCTGACTCGAGCCAAGCTGGTGATGAAATGGCTGGGATGGTGTGGGGGTCAGAGGTGAGCTGGAGATGTGGTGAGTGTGTGGGAACAAGGGTAAGAAGGGAGAGATTTTAAATGACCAAGTACAGTTAGGGAACAGCCCTTCCATCCTTTTCAAAACTTCGTATCAGAGAATGGGAAACAAAGGTGTACATTGGTGGGCAGATACTGAATGGGCCGGGGAATGGTGGGCAGATACTGAATGGGCGGGGAATGGTGGGCAGATACTGAATGGGCGGGGAATGGTGGGAAGATACTGAATGGGCGGGGAATGGTGGGAAGATACTGAATGGGCGGGGAATGGTGGGAAGATACTGAATGGGCGGGGAATGGTGGGCAGATACTGAATGGGCGGGGAATGGTGGGAAGATACTGAATGGGCGGGGAATGGTGGGAAGATACTGAATGGGCGGGGAATGGTGGGCAGATACTGAATGGGCAGGAAATGGTGGGAAGATACTGAATGGGCGGGGAATGGTAGAGCGGGGCTGATGGGCTCCATGGGGAGGGCCGTTTCACAATTGGTCAGAATTTTGAGGATGGATAGACGACAACAAATTTCACCAGCCACTCAACCAACAATGTCATTAGGGGTGTGAGAAAAAGCCTCAGAATTATTTGGCCTGTTTCCAAGCTCACGTGCTAGGTCATTTTGTCTGTTACAGTTAACAAATAACCGTGATGAGTAGAAAGACTCACAGTCAAGCCTCAGCTTTATTGCTGCCCTGAGAGAACCTTTCTATCACCACAAAGGCACCAAAAATTTAGCGGCTGAAAATTTATGCACGGACAGCATTATGGATGAGGGAATACCGTTCGCCTCTGTGTATGACCTGGTAGACACACGTAAAAAGGAAATGTGACCTTGGATAAGACACTGATACAAAACATGTAAATTATCCTACATAAAATTTCCTACATTTGAAATGATCATAATGAGATCTGAGGGAGGAGATGCTAAATGAAAGTCAGAGGAGGCTTCCTTCATCTATGACAAGACCTTTTGGTTGACAGATTTAAAGTACCCCGAGTTTGATAATGACCAAAATATTGTCCTTGCCCAGTTCAGGTAACAAAGGAGAAACTGAGTCTGCCAATCCTTGCATTTGGCAGCGGGTGTGCCGATATAATTTTGCCTTAAGGAGATAATTGAAACTAGCAAAATGGTAGCAGCACAAGGATCTCTCAGAGAATGATTTAAGAGAAGGACAGGGAGCCCTTGACTGTGAGGCTAAGAGGAGCACTGTGATAACTTCCCGTGGAAAAGTCATCTTTGCCTGTTAGAGCAGTGATAAAAAGAATCATGATTAGTAGCATGACTCACTGTAAAATCTCAGCTTTATTGCCGCCATCACAGATCTTTCTATTATCGCAGGGATGAAGGATGCCAGAGGGAAAATTCACCGGCTAGCAGCCCCGAGACTAAGAAAGTCATGTTTACCTTAGAATGGCCTGATTTCCCTGGTTGTTTGGTAAACGAGGCTTCCTCGCTTTGCTCTTTCTGAATAAATGAGCCTCAGGAGACAAGAGAGCTAACCCCGTGCCAGCCTCCTATGTACCACATACCTCTTCCATTCTGGGTTGAGAAGAGAACAGTAAAAATCCCCTGTACTAGCTCTCTGGCCTTATTTCTCTTTTTCTTTTGGTATTCCTTTATAACCTAATAAGATATAAGACAATAGTCTAATTTTTTTATTTGTTATGACTTTTCATGTGGTCTAAATGAGATCTCCTTTAGAGAGTCTTTGAATTATAGTGAAGACCATTTATGTTTACAGTTATCATTGAAAGGTATGCACTCACTTCCCCTTTTCCGTCCTGGGGTCTTGCTGTTTTACTGAGTTCATAGTGTTGGATGCTTCCCTAGTTCTTCCATGTTTATCTGTTTATCTACTGATGTTTATTTTTTCCCCCGAGCTCTTGTACTTGGTCACACCATTTTCCCTCCTTTGTGTGAGGTATTCCTTCAGTGATCTCCTGAAATGCTGGCTTAGTGGTACTACTTGCTTTAGTTTATACTTACATGAAAGGTAATCTTCTTGGGCAGTTATTTCATCATAGGCTTCAGATGAATCAGTTCAGATTCTCCTGTCCTTTAGGGTTTCTCTTGAGAAGCCTACCATTATTTTTATATATTTGTCTTTATAAGTAACACTTGCCTGCTTTTTCTTTCTTAGTTCTATACTCTGTGAATGTTAAGTATAATATGTTATGCAAAGGATTTCCCCCCTGAATTCTAAATGTCTCTTTATAACATATTTGGAGCTAAAAGAGTATATTGTAAGTAGAATGCCTGCCTGACATGCACAGCATCCTGGATTCAATCATAAACACTGCCAAAATAAAAATAAAGTAAAATAAGTTATACTACTTTTCAATGGATGATATAGTGAATATTTATATATCTTATTATCAACTGTATTAATAGCCAGTGTGTTAGTTGCCATATAGTGCAAATTTTGTTTCCTGTTTTATTCCAGTGGCAAAATAAAGTCTAACACATGATGTTCACTTCCTGTTTAGTTAATGAAAAAGATGAATGATGGATGGCTGAAAAGGGATATAAGGATGAATAAAAAAGAATATATTACCCCTGAGGATCTCACAGAGGTGGAGAAGGATGGCAGTAGGCAAAGACACAGATAATTGCAAGTTAATGTGTTAGCTCAAGTGATGCATGAGTTTATAGGGTTCCATTTTCCAGTGCGGGTGTGGTGAAAGTGATGGGGAGTATTGTATAAGTCTGATTATATCATTAATTTATGTATCATTTTATCTTACTCACTTTTTCTTACCTTCTTCCATACTTTCTGACTTACTGTCTAGCTTAGGCCTACTCAACAGCAAATGTAAGGACTTAGTCATGGAAATGTCATTGAGCACACACGTGTTCAATGGCCTTTGGTAATTTGAATATTTCCCTTTTGGAACTAATTTGGAACTCAATAAAAACTTCTGCGGCAGTTATAGTTATTGTTTCCATTTTGTATGTGCAGAAATGGAGACGTAGAGAGGTCAACCAATTTGCCCAATGCCTCACGTTAGAAACTAATGGGATCACAACTGATCCCAGGCATCTTGTTCTGGGTGCTACTTGATCAGGGGCCTAATGCTTCCTTTCCTTCTCTTCCTACCAGGAAGTCCTCTTTACACTGATTTGTGATTGTACAACCCATTTAACATGTTACTTAGTGTGTTAGCCAGGAGTCTGTAAGCAAACAGCCTCTCTCTCTCTCTCTGCCTAATTTTACAATATATATGATAAAATGGAATTTATTAGATTAGTTTTTATGATAGGTCCTGGAGAGTCTAAGAGAGGGCACCTGCACACTGGAGATGTAGAGAACCCAGCAGCGGCTCAGCCCATGAAGTTGGCTGCCTCAGCACTGAAGGCCAGGAAGGTCCCCGAGTACCAGAGTCGCTGGAACTCATTCCCCATTGGGAGGCTGAAGAAGCTGGAGTGTGATGTCAGCAGAGACCACAGCAGCAGTGATGGATACACTAGCTCAGGAGCAATGAGGACAGGCAGGTGATACTGCTGCATTCCTCATTCCTCTTTAAACCTGGCCTTCCTATTGGAAGGTGCCACCGACTTGAGAGGAGGTCTTCCCACCTTCAGTCAGTTTTCTTTGTGAACATACTAACAGATACATCCAGAGGTGTGCCTCTAGGCGATTCCCAATCTAGTCAAGGTGCAGCCAGATTAATCATTTCAGGGCTATTTACAAACACAGCAGTGCTAGTCAGAAGGGTAGATCTCTAACAGAACACTTTTGGTCATCAGCCAGTGGGCATATTTACTGTTAGCTGGGGGAACCATTTTTCATCATCTTTAACTCATAACACTTTATCAATCTGAAGTTTTGTCAAAGGAATTCAATGCTCTCGGGCTTGCCACAGCTGTGTCTTCTGTAAGCAGTCACTGTGTGGGACTGCGGTGTGTGAGTGTTCATTAGGATTCTGCTGTTGTAAAGAGGAGGGATGGAATCAGAACTGAGTCAAGAGAGAAGTCTGCTAGCAAAGCAGGGCTCATGAGATCTGGCCCACTTGGAACAGGGCTTGGAGTCAGAGATGCCCATCACCTTCAGGTCTTTATTGTCCTCCACCATTAGAATCTCTCCCCTCAGTTCTTGCCAGTTACTGGATTCAGACAAAATCTTAAGAGAAACGATGATCTGTTCATATCCGAGGCCAACCCCAATGATGCTGGAGGCTGGGGCTCACCACACAGCAAGCATTTTGGCAACAAAAATCCCTCCTCCTTGAATGATGATCTGTCTGACACATCTCTGTGTTTTCCACAGGGTACCAGACACTCAGAACGGAAAAAAGGAACCAGTGGATAATGAAGATGACGATTTTACTCAAGGAAACATTACATCATCTGATTTATAATGGATCCTTAGGACAAAGCTTTCTTCTCATGGCTTCATTATTACACATGACCCTCACTGAGGAGTTGTCCTGTGCCTGGATAAACAGTCACAACCTGGATTGACCTTTGAAGAAGTCGTTCTTCCTGAGTCTTAGTTTATTTATCTCAAGATGAATATAATGGCATTCTATCTTACGAAGAACATAACAATACCATTTGGAGAGGTTCTAGAAAGTAGACGAGCCATTAAATTTCCTAGCAGACTTTTAGTACTTCGCCAATGCCCAATAAGTGGCGGTAAATTAGGAACAGCACATTTTTGTTACCGAAGTCATCTCTACTGGCCACCACCATTGGTCTCACCATTGACCACAGGTGACTTGTGTCATTTCTCAAATACGTCTGTGTTCTCACAATGCTTTCCAAAGCACTTTGGCCCCCCGCTTCCTCTGAACTTTGTGTCTCTTTCTCACCTCTTTTTCCTGTGTGTTTTCCTTTCTAGTGCAATTTTAAAAAAATCACTTAACCTGTATTTCCTAAATGGCAAGCTCATGGCTAGAAAAACTGTACTCCTGCTCAACAGGTAATCTTACATGTTCAAACATCCTACTCTTTCATAGTTTTTCATGCAATGACTAGCGTATTCTCACTGACATTCATCCCATGGTTCTTTCCCTAGCATCACTGAACAGCCCTCGACATGCATTCCACCTCACTCACATACATCATTTGAACTGTGCAGCATTCTTTGGAGGAACAGAACGAATAAGATGCATGTACACACATAAAACTAGATTGCTGGTAAGTTGCTTAACTCTATTTCCTCTGTCCGGTCTTTATTTTCTATGTCAATAATGCCTCTTCAATATCCCATTCTTAGACTATAAGCAAAAAAAAAAAATCAACATAATCACCAAAAATTTATTTTTAAAATGTTAATGAATATGTGAATGCAGAGGGTTCTTACTAATATTTAGTCTTTTGGTGGATGAGGCAATGTCCTTGCTGCTCTTGTCTGTTTTCCCAGAGTGAAGGGAGAAGGACCCATCTGAAGCAGGAAGTGATCTTCTTCTCCATCCTTCTTCCCCTCCCCCTCCACATTCTGTCAGAAATGGCGCACCACCGGCAGGCTGGCCCTGTAATGCAATGTGAAGGAGGTATTGATGCTCACGGCTCAGCTTCAGTCCACACCGTCTTGCAATCTTAGGGATTAAGTTTCTGTATTCTTGGGCTTTAATGTAAGATGTGGATGGGACCTTATAAATCTGAAGCAGATGTGGGAGTGGAGCTTGAAGTCCAGCTAATACTCTCCAAGCCAGGTTGCTCCAGAGAATTCGTTCAGTCCTGGGTGGAGAAAGACAAATAACCGAGTTCTCCACTTATCAGAAAGTGAGTATAATTGTGTGGACAGACAGTTTAATCATGTGAAGACTTTCGATTGTGTGCCCTGTCCCTGCACCTGTGGGGCCTTCCTTTGCTGACAATTTAGTGTATATCCAGAAAAATTCAGTTCATTTTGGACTTGTTCCAAGCCGCAGCTCTCCTCTGCATTCCTGACCACTCTCCTGTGTCCTCTGTGAGATTTGCAGAGGAGGACAAGACAGTTGGCAGAGATGGGGATATCTCTTATTGGCTACAATGACCAACTAGTCAAGCTGAGGACGTGATCTTTAAGTTAAAAGCTCCATCCCACAGGCCACCTCAATGAGAAGTCACAGATGAGTGACATTTTGGGCTCATACGACTTCCTCTGAAGACTCAACATGTTTCAATTCAGGCAGAATACTTTCTGGAAAAGTTGTCGTTTTCTTCAAGTTTTAGTCACAGGAATAGCAAGCATATAGTTTTCATTGTTGTATTAAGACCATTTTTCTATTCATTAACCACTGGTAATGGCAATGTTATCAAGAGATTTAATATATATATATATATATACATATATAGATTTTCTTGATATATATACATACATATATATGTATATTCTCAAAGCCACTTTGAGAAGAGGACTTCAAACCATCCTCTCTAGTCTTCACACAGTGAAGATGTCACTGCATACTCTATCCCTTTTAAAAATATGTTCACCTAGATGAGGTGATAATAAAGGATGGGTAGTAGACCTGTTCTTATTAAAGCACCAAGGGGACAAGATCTTACTCTTTACATATAGGAAAAAAAATTCCCAGCCTAAAGGAGAGCACTGGGTGGGTTTTCAGGATGATTGAATTCTAGAAGTTGTTGGTAAACATGCGGCGTAAGACTTGTCTTTTGCTCTTAGATAAAAGATCTCTAAGGCAAGCCCAGAACAGTGAACATATATATCACTGAAGGTGGACTCTGCCCGTATCTCCTACCTTCATCCATTGCTGGCATTTAATATGGTTTGTGAAATTCAGGTCAGGAAGGAGATGGAAGATTCGACATACTGTGCACTTTCTGAATGAATGGCTCTCAACTTTCAAATAAATTAGATTCAGGCTGGGAAGATGGCTCAGTCTGGTCAAGCGCTTGCTGGGCAAGCACGAGGACCTGAGTTTGGACCTCTTACCACCCACGTGAAAAGCTGGTCACAGTGGTGTACTTGTGATTCCAGTTCTGGGAATGCATGGAAAGGAGGTTCTCTGGAGCTTGTTGGCCACTGCAGATGAGCTCCAGGTTTAGTGAGAGACTCTGTCTCAGAAAATAAGGTGGGGAGTGATTGAGAAATGAATCAACTCCCCTAAAAGCTGTCCCTCTGACCTCAGACATGGGCACCCCCACGCACAATAAAATAAAATTATAATCTACCAGGTAGGAAGAGGGACCTACTGTCAGCCAGTATCATGCATCATACACAAATATGTAGACACACACTCACAAATGCACACATGCATTCATGCACAAAAACGTTTGAATTCATCCTATCTGTAAAATGAATGGAGTGAAACCATTTGCTTATATACAATGGATGCTGAGTGAAAATAAACTTTCTTTTGTTCTTAGAATTCTTTACTGGAAGGAAAGGAGATAAACACAAAACGTTGTTAGATAATGAGTCTGGAGTACAAGGTTAGCAGCAAGAGAACATTTTAGCACTGAAGCAAGTAAGGGAGGATCCAGTCTCTAGTAAATCGGGAGATGTCTTCGAAGTATTCTGATCATGGTGTAGAATACCAGGCAGTTGGTCAAGTTCAAGAGAGAGAGTGGTAGGGCTCTCTCTTCTAACTTTAGACAGAAATCTTTGAGGAGGAAAACAGCTGGGTACCTAAGCAGGAACACTGAATCGAGTCTTTACAATAGAGGTGCAGACCCACCTTCTGGGAGGCCAGTGGATCAAGAGACACCCAAGGTGAGTTCTGAAAAGAAGACAGAAGTGATTTGTTCTCAAACTCCCTTTAAACTTCTGCTCCCTGGGTGGGCCAGGGTTTGCAGGTGTCTGTAGCCAGGAGAGACAGGGCCTCACTCAGATCGGTTTTCAGTTTTCTGTTACCCTCATCCCTTGTCCCCGTGCTATTCAGCCAATATTGCATCTTTAGTGGTTAAGCTCTGGGGGCAGGTGGCTATTTGTAAGGCTACTAATTAGATAAAGGGAGTGATTTGCGCCAGGATGCAGATAATGCATGGAATTGTGCCAAGACCCACAGCTCAGGAGTTTATGACCCCCAGCTGCCATGGCGACCATGCCTATTCGGTTGGAGAAGCTTTTTGTTGTGGGATAGGAGGTAGCACATAGGCAGGGTACCCGCTTCTGTGTGGCTTGAAACTGAAAACTCTAATGGAAGTGGGGGAGGGGGGCAAAAAGGCAGTGGGGCACTAGGCTTCCCATTCATGTCTAAAGGAGCGGATTGTTTCGGGAGTTCTTTCTTCTTGTGTGTCTGCGGGGAGGCGTCTTTCTTGTTTGCAGGAATCTGACTCTCGGAAGGAGATGTGCATCCCTGAATCTTCTTGTACTGGTCTCTTACTACACAGCTCTCACCTTTGGACCTTTGATTTCTTATTCTTTTAAAAAATATTTCTGAATATTTAGCATGTTTTTTTTTTAAAGAAGAATGTGTTGTAATCTTCAAGGTGATAAACAAATAATCCAAGATTCATGTTCTTACATTCTCATGTGTTACAACGATAACATTGTAAAAGCTGTGTGTGTTACAATGATAACATTGTAAAGCTGGAAGACACCATGTAACATTCATATGTATGTTACTATGATAACATTGTAAAGCTGTGTGTGTTATAATGATAACTTTGTAACACTGGAAGACACCATGTAACATTCACATGTGTGTTACAATGATAATGTTCTAAAGCTGGAAGACACCACATAACACTTTCATGCATGTTCCAATGCTAATGTTTTAAAGCTGGAAGACACCATGGAGACAGTTACTCATAACATTCCATTTCCCCAGGATGGTTTTATTGTCCGGGTGTAGTAACTAATAGCCCCCCTCTTTTCCCTTTCACAAGTGACCGTGTTGAGCCATAGCCACCTACCAGACACAGCGTGTTCTATAACGCTGATCAGCAAGCTATGACGTCAAAAACAGAAATGGAGAAAAACATTGAAAGGGGTTGATACGAGAGTGGGTGACACCAATGACTAATTGAGTCGTGGCTGGATTAGGAATGAAAAGAAAGCCTGGAGCCTGTTGGAAGGAGTGAGTCAGGGAGGGACAGCCCAAGTATTCGAGAAGGACCAGGCAGATTAAGAATGAGTCATGGGAACAGGGACCTGGAAGGTTATGACATTGTGGTAGAGGCTGGGATGTAGAGTAGACATAGATGGGTAGAGTTGGTGATTTCAGGGGAGGATTAATGACGTGACCTCGGCTTACGGAGTTCTCCACAGAAAAATAATGACCCATTTGAGTATTAACTGAAAAAAAACTTAATAAAGGGATTGCTTATAAATGTAGTGGTAGGATAAAATAAAAACCAAAACCAGGGATGGTGATACACCCAGGAAATAATTCTGATGGGAAGCTAAACCGTTTACATTCCTAGATCTAAGAACAAAGCGGGGAGGTGGGGAGAGTCCTGTTGTAAGAAGCTGCCAAATATGGCAACTCCAGGAGAGGGCTGTTGTAGGTGCTTGGGGCATATGTAGATGGATCCTGTGATCGCCAGAACCTTGTCTAGACAGAATGTGTGGGGATGGGATCATTGCCTCCTCGTCTCTTCAGATTCCTTCTCAAGGTCTTCTACTAGAAGACTTCTACATAAATAAGACCACAATTACAGGACTGGAGAAATGGTCCAGTGGGTTAGGGTGCTTTCTGTACAAACATGAGGCCCTCATTTTGGACCTGAGAACCCCTGTGAAAATCCAGACATGGCCACACCCACCAGTTCATACTAGCATGGAGGGAGCTGGAGATAGGAGGGTTGCTTTAGGATTGCTAATTCAGCCCCAAACAAACCAGCAACTGAAGCCCTTAAAGTGAGTTCTAGGTTCAGGGAGAGACTCTGCTTCAAAAGAATAAGGTGAGGAGCAATTGAGAACACTCAACGCCTGATTAGAATATGTACACACCCTTGTATACCACACACACACACACACACACACACACACAAGAATGTAGGATGGGAAAAGGATTTTGGCACCAAGACTGACAACGTGTTCCTATCATGGAACCCACATGGTAGGAGAGAGCTGACTCCACAATGACTTCCACAAGCTCACATGGCAATGTGTATGTGTGTCCACAACACATATAATAAAGAAATATGAAACCTTTGAAATATGATTATTGAGGGTCTATCCCCAGCACTTTGATGAATTGTGAAAATAGGGAATTGTATTAGTTTTCTGTAGATATTAATGCTATTCTAGATGATAGCGAAATATGTGGCAGAGAAAATACATAATTTCTACAAATTATGTGTATTGATTGTCATTATGGAGAATTATAACACATCATTACATTGTTACAGAGAAGAAAGGATGCAATCTAAGATTTTGAAGTTCCATAAAATGTAATTTTGATGTTATCTGAATTTTATATCTCTCTTATTTAAATGTATAAATCTTTTCACATGGAAATATTGAGGGACAAGGGACTGTACATAATTCAACTTTAAGCAACTAGAAAGCCAGAGAAAATATATGAAGCAGTGGGTTTTCAAAGACGGTCAACAGGAAGCCCAGAAGAGTGGTCCCCAGGAGAAAAAGAACAATAAAAAGAGCCCTTGGATTGTCAGTTTTCAGTTTGGAAGTTTCCAGGCTAAAGTCCCAGGTGAGGAATTCAAATAGGGACTGGGTTCCTTGCTGAGTTAAGAAGAGAGTTTAGAGTTCAGTGAAGCCAGAGTAAAATGACAGAAAGAAAAAAAGTTACAGAATGTGAAAGAATCCCAGAGATTTGCAGAGGAGTTTCCCCAAGTGCTTGATTGAACACTTTTTAGAGCATTCGCATGAGGAAACTATTCCAGGCTCAAGAGCCACTGAATCATGTGCAGAACAAGCCAACAGTCCCTGGAGCTTGTGCTGGTCAGTTTTATGTCAACTTAACACAGACTATAGTCATCTGAGAGGAGAGAGAGCTTCCAGAAGATCAGGCTGTAGGCATTTTCTCAATTACTATCTAAGTGGGAAGGCCTGGTCCATTGTGTGTGGAGACCCCTGGACTGGTGGTCCTGGGTTCTCTAAGAAAGGAGGCTGAGCAAACCGTGAAGAGCAAGTCTGAAGCAGCACTCCTCTACAGCTGCTGCCTCAGCTCATGCCTCCTGGTTCCTTTCCATTTTGAATTTCTGCCTTGACTTCTCTAAATGGACCGTGACTTGGGACATGTAAGCCAAATAACCCCTTTCTTCCACAAGTTGCTTTGGTCATAGTGTTTCATCACAGCAATATGAACTTTAAGAGTTTTTTACAGGATAGGAAGAGTTCCTGTTCCCATTAATCACAGCTGAAAGACCTC